CAGCCATCAACAGCGACGGGAGGAATGATGACGGAAAGGAACCGCGGGCCGACTACATTCGACGAGCCACGCGCGAAGCCGCGGGCCATGCTTCCCGAGCCCAAGTGGAAAAATGGTTTGTTCTATATTTCAAACGGGAATGGAAGTGGGCATCCCGCGTGGCGACGCACGATTGCGACGGGTGGATTCTCGTTGCTGCCTCATGGGAACCGCGCTCACACGGCCCGCGCCCAGCGCGCCGGCGGCGCGGAGGTCAACGAAAGCGATGGGCAGACGACGTCGTGGATTTCTTGCGCGCCAATGGCATGCGCGAAGACCGCGACGACCAGGGGCACAACAATCAATTGTTATCAATTGCAGCAGATCAACAGTTATGGAGAGATCTAGAAGATGATTTCACACAATACGCCTGCGCCCATGACAACTTATGATCTTGAATGCTTCCCCGACTCCAGCGTTACGCGTTCTGCCCATTCTGGTCGTTTCTCCGACTCCTGTCCACACCTTCCGATTCCGTATCCCATCCATCTTTCCGACTCCTGTTCCGGCTCCAATTCCTGCCCCCAACGCGTCTCCTGAGGGCTCTGGCCCCCCCGCGCCGCCCTATGAGGGGCGGCCCCGCCGGACCGATCTCGCGCGCTCGCCTCGCCTGGCCTCGCCCTCGTCCTCCTCCTCCTCCTCCTCCTCCCTCGCCTTCATCTTCCTCCTCCTCTTCCCTCGTCGTCGTCGTCCTCCTCCTCCTCGTGATCTTCGTCCTCCTTCTCCTCCTCTTCCTCTTCCTCCTCCTCCACCTCCTCCTCCGCGCCCCCCCCCCCCCCCCCCCATCCTCCTCGTCCTCCTCCTCCTCCCCCTCCTCCTCCTCCCCCCTCCTCCTCCGCCCCCCCCTCCTTCCCCTCCCCCCCCTCCCCCTCCACCTCCGCGCCCGTCCTCCTCGAGCCGCCTGCGACGTAAGGCGCTGCTGATGGCGGAGCAGGTCGCGCCCGGCATGGCGGGCCCTCTGGAGGCCCCGCGCCCCTTCTGGGGGGGCCCCCGTGGGGCCGCAGAGGGGGGGCCGGCGAGAACGCGGGCCGCCCCTCGTCGAGAAAAACCGAGCGGGGCCGCAGCGCGCGCCGCGCAAAAACCGCGGCATGCGCCGCGGCCGCGACAGGGCCGCAGCGCATGCCCTGCCCCCCCCTTACCTCAGTTGGGCGGGCGGGCCCCCGGCCGCCCCAGCTCGGACGCGGCCGCTCGGGTTCGGCCGCGCCTCGACCCCTGCAGCTCCCGCGGGGGCGCCCGGCGCCCCGCCTCCTCGCCGGGGGCGTCGGTGTTTTCCAGGCGGCCGTGTCTTGCAGCGCCTTCGAGCTCCTCCCTGCGCTTCCATCGTTCCCGCTCACCTTCGTCGCCCTTCCTCCTGTCCTCCATCCCCGTCATCCCTCCTCTTTCCTTTTCCCCCCCTTATTATCCCCCTTCCCCCCTCGCCCTCCTTCGGTCTTCTCGCTCGCATGACCCCTGCGCCCCTTCCATCTCTGATGCCCCCTCATCCCTTGCCTCCCCGCCCCCCCCCCCCGCCCTTGCGCCCTGCGCACTAATTGCACCCCTGCCCCCCCCCCCCGACCCCCCTCCCCGTCGATTCCCCCGTCGGCCCCCCTCCTGCCGCCTCGCGCCCCCCTTCTCCTTCCATTTTTCTGCTCCGTCATTGTTCCCCCTCCCCCCCCCGCCCCCCTCTATCTCAGCCCTGCTGCCCCCCCTCATGCTTCCGCCGCGTGATCCCCCCCGGTTCTCTTCGATCCTTTTTGTCAAAAGCGCAGCTGGCGGTCGCGCAGCGCCAGCCGCGGGCGCGCGCGGCGATGGCAGTGGCGGCGCGGGCGCTGCCGACGCTGCCGCCGTTTTTGCCCGCCCCCTCGCGCCCCTCGCGCCCCGCCTGCCGCCCGTTCCCCGATCCTCCGCTATCATTCCTGTTCGAGTTGTTCAAACCGCGTCGCTCCGCGGCCGCGAGCGCAACTGGCGCCGCCGGCGCGGCGCTGAGCCGCTCGGCGGGCGCCGGGGGGCCGCGAGACGCGCGCCCCCAGCGCGGCGCCAGCTGGCGCGACGGGCGCGGCGGGCACCCATTGGTAAGCGCCGTGGCGGGCGCTGGCGACGCGGCGCTGATCAGCTGGTCGCGATTAACTCCCGCGGGCACATTCTAAGCGAGCGGCGCTCGGCGCGGCCGCCGCAGAAGTGGGGCGCCCATCGGGCGCCGCGGCCGCGGCGCAAGGCAGCGCGACGGGCGAGATAGGCTGGGCGCCGAGCAGCGCGACCGAACGCAACAGTTCCATGTCGACAGCCACTAGGGGCCTGAATTGCGAACGGCAGCAAGACGAGCTCGATCGCCGCGGCGGGTGCCATCGCCGCAGCGAGGATCAGCGCGGCGACGCGCAGCGCGACGCCCCCCCTTTCCCGCCGCGCGGGGGCGAGGCGGGGACCGGCCCCACGACGCTGGCCGGCGCTGCGAGCGCCGCAAGCGCGACGCACATCAGCTCGACGGGCGCGGCGCCGCTGTTTCGGAAAGTGCCAGCGGTTCGCGCGCTGCGCGCGTCGCCGGGCTGGGCGAGACGACGAGTGGCGGCGGCGCGCCGCCGAACAGCGCCGTCAGGTTTTGTGCGAGGCAAGCGGTGCGTATTCTATGATTGGGAACTTCGTGTTGCCAGCGCGCGGAACTCGCGTCGCTGTTGTTTCGAGCGGTGCTCGGGCGGCGTTCGGGGCCAGCGCGGCGCGATGGCTCCCCGACGCCACTTCGCTATGACAAGCCGAAGGTGCGCGGGGCAAGTGCTTGAAATTCTAACGCCGTCGCGCCGCGGGCGGGGTGGCGTCGCTTCGTTTTTGGCCCGCTGCTCTTTCCGCCATCGTGCGACGGGGTTCAGTTTAGCGCCGCGGGGCGGAAGAGCGGCGCCAGGCCGGCTTTGAGGATGCGGAGCTGGCTCGGGCCACATTAGGAAGCGGCTGTCGCGGCACTCCGCGCAGAGTACGACGAGAGATACCCCCTCCCCGCAGCGAGCGTTTGCATGGCGATTTCCGATCACCCCCGAGGTCGACTGACGATGAAAAATGGGGCTGCCGCGCACGGGGTGGTCTTAATCGGGTCGCGGACGCGCGCCGACTGCGTTCTCGTCTTGACGGCGTGTAATCTGCGCGGTCAAGACGCGCCTGCGCATTCGCGATTGGCTTCTCGTCAGGCCTGCGACGTGGGGGCGCGCAGGATCTCGGTGTCTGCGCGCCCGCTTTGCTTGCTGAGCGAGGGCAGGGGCCTTCCGCATTTTCGCTCGGCCGCGCCCGAGCGCCAGTCGCAACTTAAGGGCGGCGCTGAAAATCTACGATATAGCGCCGCGCGCTGTCGGATACTGCCCCGTCTGTCGGGCAGTGCGTCAACGCGTCGATGGCGCTCGCGCGTGTCGCGCGGAGCGACGGCGGCGGCGGGGCAGTGCGAAAGCCCAAGAACGCGCGCCACTCACGCGGCGATCTACGAGCTCGTCGCGCGGCCCATGGGCAGCGCAGGCGCAAGTTTCGGCGAGTGCGCACTCATCTCTCCCCGGCGTCGTTCACGTGGCCTTCAAAGGTTGGGCCTGCTCTGGGGCGGCGCAGTCAGTTACGGCGCCGATGGCGGCAGGGGCTCGCCTGCTTCCGTCTCGCCCGGCGAGTGCCGAGGGCGCTTGAAGATGGCGGGGGACTCGCTGAGCACCCAGACGCACCAGCTAAAGGGGGCGAAGATGACCCTGATGCCGTGCGCCGTCAGGGCCGAGATCCCGGCGAAGCCCGGGGCGATGCCAGGCCTCGCGATGAGTGGCAAGGCCGCGCCGAAGAGGTGGACGTCTCCGCGGTCCATGATGTGGGCCAGCCAGCCGCCATCCTTGCTGAGCCATCCTGCTCCCTTCTGGGTGAGGTCATCGACTGTTCTGGAAGGCCCAACTCCGATCACCTCAGCTCTCCGGGGCCATGTTCGGTTCCCTGGGGATCCCCGAATCAAGATCCAGGTTCCCCAGCCCCCGATCCAGGAGATGTCTGGGGACGCAGGGTGGGGGCGGGACTGGTTGTCTCGTGCCCTTTCTCCCGCGAGGGGCCGGCGCTTCGGGCGTTTCGCCAAGCGGGGGCCCCCCCGCTGGCGGCGACCCAGCCTCGCTGGGCCCGTCGTCTTCGAAGGGCGTTGCGACCTCCATGTCGGCGTGCGCGAACCAGGAATACCCGTACTGCGCCCCAGCGTCGGTGGGACTGGGCACGTTCCAAGCGCGGCCCAGCAGAAGCCCGCCGAACGCGGATCCGATCGCCAGCAGCTCGCGTCGCGGCGGGCTGATGAGTCCAGTTGTTCCTTCTTGGCCCGCCAGGCAAGCGAGCAGAAGGGCGGCTAGCGACACTGCGCGGCGGGCGGTCGCCGATGCCACGCAACGGCCGATGCCCCCTCCGACCAGCATGGGCGCTCGGCAGGGGCGATTCGCCGCGTGGCCAGCGCCCTGGCGCGCGGCCCCGCATGGCCGCCCGTGTCGGCTTCCGGGGACCCCCGGAATTTTGTGGGCCTCCTGAGGTGGCCTCCAGAGTACGCGGCCTTCGGCCACCTGGGGCCGACCCCCAGCTTGACCCAGAAAGGCTTGAGCCCCAAAGGGGAAGCGAGAGAGAGAGGGAGAGGAGAGAAAGCAGGCAGCAGCAGGAGTAGGAAAAACGAAAACCCGCAAATTTATGGGTTGAGAAAGCTTAGTGCTTACAGGAATCAACTAGTTGCTTGGCAATGCTTGACATTTGTTTGCATCGCTTGGCGTTGCGAGGCGAGGCAGCAAGAAAACACGACCAAGGAACCAAGGAAGCAAAACCAAGGAGCACACGAACCAAATAATCAGGGAATCAATATCAAGGAATCAAGTGAGCAATACCGAAGAACCCAAGGAAGGCAGCAAGGAACCGAAACCAATGAATCAAGGAACCAGGACCAAGGAACCCCGAGGAATGGCCAACGCAGGCCCAGCACCCACGGGTTTTTCCAAACAATTGATATTTTTCAAAGGGAAAGCCTCAATGGGAATGTTTGACCAAAGCCGCTGCCGCTCCAGATCCGGTACCCTTATCACCCATCACTGCCACCATTATCACCACCACGACCACTTGGCAAGCGGACCGAATGGACATGTAGGGGATGTCAGAGAGGATTCGTCTAGCGGCGCTTTTGGCTGTCCCCTCTGGACAATGTAGCTGTGCTCCCAGATGTCTAAATCTGCAAAGCGGGGAGCATCAGGAGGTCGAAGGGTGAACTTGTTGAGATTGGATGGCGTCGAAAGTCGTCGCAATGGTGAGAGATATATATCAAGTGGATCCCGTGGAAGCAGTGCAAAGATGAGAAGCCAGCAGATGATTCAACAAGCGCGCAGCTCTATGGAGGCCTTCTGCATGCGCCTCAAGAGACATCCATGGCTCCACGCGGGGGGTGGGGGCACATCTTTTAAGTTTGTTTCCAAGGCGCGGCATTGTAGCTTCATGCAGATGGAAGCACGCCGCTTGCTCTGGAATTAGGCACGCGCCCGTCTTCCTGGATGTATGTGTGGATGTGTGTTTGTGTATGCTTGGCGCAAGCACATACATGATCATTTGTGCTCGCAGAGGGATGGGCATATTGCGAAGGCCTTACGGCCGGTGCCGCGGACCCTGAAGACGACGAAGAGGAGGGGGGGAAAGGATGAGGAGGAGGAGGAACAGCAGGAAGGAGCAGGAGCAGGAGGAGGAGCAGGAGGGGGAGCAGGACGGGGAGCAGAGGGGGAGGAGGAGGAGGAGGAGGAGGAGGAGGAGGAGGAGGAGGAGGAGGAGGAGGAGGAGGCGTTGTGGCATTCTGGGGTCTTTGGGAAACAGCTTTCCACAAGACCCCAGAATGCCACAACGCCTGGGAGCCCCCTTTGGCCGTCCTTAGGCGTTCTTGGGCTGTCTTATGCTGCCTGGGCCTTCTAGGGGCGCTCTGGCGGATCCGTCGTGGCGCCCCCCCCCTCCAGCGCATCTACAGAGGGCCCCTCTGCAAAAGCCGCAAACGGGGGATGGCATTCTGACCCGGGATACCCCCAGGACCTCTCCCGGGCCCCCCCCCCCCGGGACCCTCCCCCCCCCCTCCCCCCCGGCGGGGAAGGGAACAAAGGTTAGGGGCTTCCCTTCGACTCAATGACAACGTTGTTGATTTCGCTTTGGCTGGGTTGCTTCATTTCGCTTTGGCTGGCGAGCTTGAGGACGAGGGTCCAGGGAAAGAGGGGGGGAGCGGCGACCGACCCAGAAAAGAAGAGGACGAGTACGTACGAGGACAACAACCACGACGAACAACCCATTCCAGACGCCGAACGCCGACAGGGTCGGCGGATTTGTACATGTGGGCACGTGCGCAGAGGCTATGATCAGGTCGTCCTGCACCACGCCTGGCCTCTGGTGAATCCAACTTATCCAGAACGTGCTAGAGTTTCCCGAAAACAAAGCCGCCAATCGCCTGTTGATTGCCGTCGGTACGCGTACGTAGAGATCTTTGATTCAGCCCAGTTAGCATTCACTTAGTGTAGCTGACCGTGCGGCGATGATGCCTTGTTCCGCGGGAGGTTCGAAGAGAACAACCAGCTTGTGCGGTGGCAGGTTGCCTTTTCGCTTTTCATTATGTGCAATGGGCCAGCGATTCAAGGTAACCTCTCCCCACTCTGCTTCATCTATGCGTCGTCCTGGTCCAGCGGAGACGCGGCTGATGAAATTCAACTCCTCGCGCGATGTTCTTGACAAAGCTGTCATCACTTTCTTCGTCTTGATTCCTGATGTTTGCAGGCCGCTGCTTTAGTTCAGTCACTGTTGGCGGATTCGGGTTTGGTACCCACTAGACTGGTCTAGAGTGTTCTTGCTATCTGCTTTGCGGCTCCCTCAGTACAGATGCCCCCGGTGCCCCTCCAGTGTGCCTCGTGTGGGCCTCGCGTGCGTACCGGTTGGCTTCTGGTTCGTGTCGCGTTGCTGGCGTAGTTGCAAGGAATCGAGTGTGCCAGTTCTTGTCCAGCGAACATCGCGTTACCATTCTTGTCGGCAAGACGATCACTCTGAGCGTGCCAGCTCGCTCAACTTAAGATGCATTTCGCGTCGCCATAGTTAATTTCAGCGATGTTGCCAGGAAGTTCACGCCGAGGGTGCTGACTCGCTCCTGGGGCACTCCACGTCGCCAGCGTTGCTGCCAGCGTTGATGCCATGAAGCTCACTCCGAAGGTACTGCCGCGCTTCTGGCGCAGTTCGCGTTGCCAGCGTTATCGGTACGAAGCTTGGTCTGAGCGTGCCTGCTCGCTTCTGCTGTACTTCGCGCGGCCACCGTTGTTGCCAGGAAGCTCGCTCCGAGCATGCCAGCTCGCTCCTGGCGCGCATCACGTTGCCAGTGCTGGCGGCAGGAGGCTCATTCCGAGCGTGACTGCTCGCTTCTGGGCCACTCCGCGCTGCCAGCGTTGTTGCCGGCGTTGCTACCAAGAAGCTCACTCCGAACGTGCTCTGCTGGCTCGCTCACGGCGCACATCGCGTTGCCATGGTTGTCGCCAGGAAGCTCATGCCGAGCGTGCCAGCTCGCTCCCGCTGCATTTCGCGCTCCCACCGTTGCTGCTGGGAAGCTCTTTCCGAGCGTGCCAGCTTGCTTCTGGTGCACGTTCCGCTGCCAGCGATCTGCCAGGAAGATCATTCCGAGCGTGCCGGCTCGCTCCCAGCGCACATCGAGTTGTCAGCGATGTCGGCAGGAAGAGCACTGGAGGGTGCCAGTTCGCTTCCGGTGTACTTCAAGCTGCCAGCGTGCCAGCGTCTGGCAGGAAGCTCATTTTGAGCGTGCCAGCTCGCTCTTGGCGCACGTAGTGTTGCCAGTCGGGAGGAGCTCCGAGAACGCTGGCTCCTCTCCAGAGCACTTCACGCTGCCAGCGCTGCTGTCAGGAAACTCATTTTGAGCGTGTGGGCTCGCTCCTGCTCGCTCCCATCTGTTATTGCGATGCCAGCAAGGCTGGCAGGAAGTTCACTCCGAGCAAGGTCATCTATATATATATATATATATATATATATATATATATCAACAGATATATACATATATTGTTATTTTCATGTTCAGTTGCGCTGTCTACACATTATACAACAGCAGAGTTAGGGGCGACTAGAGGGTAGTGTGTAGTGTGTGTTTGCTTGGGGCTCGTCGGGGCGACTAGAGGGTAGTATGGCGTTGAATGGCCAGGAGAGCAAGCAGATCATCAACGTCTCTAAGGCAAGCTCCGTCCCTGTCGCTCTGCATGTCTCTCTCTCTCTCTCTCCTTCTCTCTGTCTTTAACGCTCTCTTTTCGTTACTTTCTCTCTCACTGCCTGCCTCTGTCTCTGTGCCTGCCTGTATGACTGTCTGTCTGTGTGTCTGTCTGTCTGTCTCTCTGTCTCTCTGTCTCTCTGTCTCTCTCTCTCTCTTATATTATATATATATATATATATATATATATATATATATATAATATATATATATATATATATATATATATATATATATATATAACGGCGCACCGGGTCCGGGGGCCCGGGGCCGGGACCTCGACCACAAATGTGCACCCCGGGGGCCCCGGAGGCTCGTCGGGGCTTGCCGGAGGCCTCCCCGGTCAGACAAGACGGCCCCAGAAACGCCCAAGACGGCCCAAGAAACTTCCAAGAGGCCTCCAAGAGGGCTCCGAGATGCTGAAGATGGCCTCCAGACGTCCAAGGACGCCCCCAAGAGGCCCCAAGAAGCCTCCAACATGCGTCCCAAGAGGGCCCCTAGACGCAAAAATTGGCCCATTCCCTTCGTAAAACGTACATTTTTCACAAAGTTGCCTTTTGGGCTTTCCGACATTACAGGACGGCCCAAGAGGCGCCCAAGACCGCCCCAAGACGGCCCAAGAAGCTTCCAAGAGTGCCCCAGGACAGCCCAAGAGGGCCCCAAGACGGCCCAAGAGGCGCCCAAGATGGCCCAAGAGGGCCCCAAGACGGGCCCAAGAGGGGGCCCAGAGGGGGACCACGAACCGCAAGCTCGAGCCTTCCGCCCCAAGAGGCCGCCAGGAGGCCCCCAGGAGGCCCCTCAAGAGGCCCCAGGAGACCCCAGACGTCCAAGGACGCCCCCAAGAGGCCCCAAGAAGCCTCCAACATGCGTCCCAAGAGGGCCCCTAGACGCAAAAATTGGCCCATTCCCTTCGTAAAACGTACATTTTCAACAAAGTCGCCTTTTGGGCTTTCCGACGTTACAGGACGGCCCAAGAGGCGCCCAAGACCGCCCCAAGACGGCCCAAGAAGCTTCCAAGAGGGCCCCAGGACAGCCCAAGAGGGCCCCAAGACGGCCCAAGAGGCGCCCAAGATGGCCCAAGAGGGCCCCAAGACGGGCCCAAGAGGGGGCCCAGAGGGGGACCACGAACCGCAAGCTCGAGCCTTCCGCCCCAAGAGGCCGCCAGGAGGCCCCCAGGAGGCCCCTCAAGAGGCCCCAGGAGACCCCAGACGTCCAAGGACGCCCCCAAGAGGCCCCAAGAAGCCTCCAACATGCGTCCCAAGAGGGCCCCTAGACGCAAAAATTTGCCCATTCCCTTCGTAAAACGTACATTTTCAACAAAGTTGTCTTTTGGGCTTTCCGACGTTACAGGACGGCCCAAGAGGCGCCCAAGACCGCCCCAAGACGGCCCAAGAAGCTTCCAAGAGGGCCCCAGGACAGCCCAAGAGGGCCCCAAGACGGCCCAAGAGGCGCCCAAGATGGCCCAAGAGGGCCCCAAGACGGGCCCAAGAGGGGGCCCAGAGGGAACCCCACGTGGGCCCAAGGAGGCCCAAGAGGGACCCAAGAGAGCCCCAAGAGAGCCCCAACATCGGTCACGCGGAAGAGCTCTCGCGTGACCGATGTTGGGCCCCTCTGTGGGCTCCTCTTGGAGCTCCGAGAGGAGCCAAAGATGGCCCCACGAGGGCCCCGACGAGACCCCAAGAGGACCCAAGCAGGCCCAAGAGGGACCCAAGAGAGCCCCAGCATAGGTCACGCGGAAGAGCCCTCGCGTGACCGATGTTGAGCCCCTCTTTGGGCTCCTCTTGGAGCTCCAAGAGGGGCCCAAGATGGCCCCACGAGGGCCCCGAGGGAGCCCCACGTGGGCCCAAGGAGGCCCAAGGAACCCCAAGATGGCCCCAACATCGGTCACGCGGAAGAGCTCTCGCGTGACCGATGTTGGGCCCCCTCTTTGGGCTCCTCTTGGTGCTCCGAGAGGAGCCCAAGATGGCCCCACGAGGGCCCCGTCGAGACCCCAAGAGGGCCCAAGGAGGCCCAATAGGGCCCCAAGAGGGCCCCAACATCGGTCACGCGAAAGAGCTCTCGCGTGACCGATGTTGGGCCCCTCTGTGGGCTCCTCTTGGAGCTCCGAGAGGAGCCCAAGGTGGCCCCACGAGGGCCCCGACGAGCCCCAAGAGAGCCCAAGAGGGCCCCAAGAGCGCCCCAACATCTCCTCTCCTTCCTCCTCCTCCCTCCTCTGCATCTTCCTCCTCCTCCTCCTTCTCATCCTCCTCCTCCTCCTCCTCCTCCTCCTCCTCCTCCTCTCCTCTCCAGGGGAATGAAAACCAGAGGATAGCTCACGGAGAGCCCAAGCACCCTCTTGTTGCATCCATCTTGGCTTCCAGATGGAGCCCAAGAAGGCCCCAAGGAGGCCCCTCAAGAGGCCCCAGGAGACCCCAGACGTCCAAGGACGCCCCCAAGACGCTTCGCGTCACCAATTTCTTCTCGCAACGATTCCTGGGTCTGTGACTCGACAGAACCTAAGCGCGCGCGAAGCGCGCGCGCGTGGTTCTAGTATGATGTATGGATGGATGATGGATGTATGTATGTACTCTCAGAGGGCGCGCGTGAGATCGAAGTGAAATGGAGTCGCCCAACGGGGAATTCGGTTTCGGTGTCGGGTCGTGTCGCGCTTGCGGTTGAGGCGAAGTTGCGCGAGGGCGAGAGAGATCTCGGTCTTGTTCGGTCCCAGAGTCATCATTTGTTGCCCCCCCCTCTCTGTCGGGTGATGAGTCCCGGGTTGCCCCGTGGTTCTCTCGGTGCCTTCTCAGGGCCACCCCTGCGCCCGAGAAGCCCGTTAGATCCCACAAATACGAGAAGACCGATAACAGCAAACGCCAAAAGATTTGGGCCGCTTTTCAGAGCCCGAAACGAGTTCATTCGGTCATCGTGGGCCAATTTTGAATTGCTCATCGGGCTTGCTTTACCAACCCGAACCATCTCAGGGCCATTTAGGTGCCATCTTCTGGCTATCATGAGATTACATTTTGCCCAGCATATGGCTTGGCAAGCTTTGGTCCGGGTTGTTGGGGAGGTTCGTAGGCGCCCATTGAGCAGCCGTTTTGGCCGCTCTTGGCGCATTGTTGGAAAAAGCTTCGGATAAGTTTCATCAGCAGGCCTCTGGGGGGCTCTCTCTCGTGCTAGAGCGAGTAACACAACGTATCGACAGTATTGTCTGCCTTGCCCGCTTCCACCTAACTCGTATCGTGCGACTCTGTATCCTCCGAAACCACATCATCGCGGGAGCTTCAATTTCGCAGTCATTGCAGAAGGCCAGCCGTGATGCATCATTAATGTACGTGTAGCTTCCTGTTGTCGTTGAGACGAGGATGCTCATGGGGGGCGAGGGGGTATTCAGGAGGGAAATCTGAGGTGGACTATACTGATGATTGTGGGGATGAGGAGGAGGAGAAGGAGGCGAAATGGGGGAGAAGGGGAGGAGGAGAGTGAAGAGAAGGAGGAGGGTGAGGAGGGGGAGGAGGAAGATGAGGAAAAATATTTGAAGAGGAAGGATTATGATGATGCTGCTGCTGATGATGATGCTGATACTGCTTATGGTGTTGATGATGATGATGCTGATGATGATGGTGATGATGGTGGTGGTGATGATGATGGTGATGATGATGATGATGAAATGAGGATGAAGCTGATGATGATATGATGATAACGATGATGAGGATGATTATGATGATGGTGGTGATGATGGACGTGGTGGTGATGGTGGTGATGATGCTGATGCTGATGCTTATGATTATGGTAATGCTGATGATGATGATGGTTGTGGTGATGGTGATGGTGGTGGTGATGATGATGATGGTGGCGGTGATGATGATGATGATGATGATGATGCTGATGCTGATGCTGATGTTGATGCTGATGCTGATGCTGCTGATGATCATGATAATTAAGATGTTGGTGGTGATGATGATGATGGTGGTGGTGATGATGATGCTGATGATGATGCTGGTGATGTTGATGGTGATGGTGATGACGATGGTGATGATGATGCTTCTGCGGGTGCTGATGTTGATGCTGATGTTGATGTTGCTCGTGATGGTAATGATGATAATGATGATAATGATGGTGGTGGTGATCTGATGGTGATGGTGATCATTGTGGTGGTGGTGATGATCATGATGATGGTGATGGTGATGTTGAAGATGAGGATGATGATGATGATGATGATGCTGATGTTGAACATGATGGTGATGCTGTTGCTGATGATGATGGTGCTGGCGATGATGATGGTGATAGTGGTGGTGATGACGATGTGGTGATGGTGATGGTGGTGATGATGATGAGGATGGTGATGGTAGTGATGATGACAGGATGATTACAATGATGAGGATGGTGGTGGCGATGACATTGATGACGCTGATGGTTCGGAGAAGGAGGAAGAGGAGGAGGAGGAGGAGGAGGAGGGGGAGTAGGACGAGGAAGGATGAGAAGTGCAAACCCAAGTTTCGCGACGATATTGAAATAAGCCTTCCATCCAAGCTCCCTCTTCATAGGCCCCTACAAGGACTCATTGTCACTGAAGGAAGTTCCCGTTGGAAAACAGCCTGTTGGAAATTCCGATTTGTGCTAGAACCACACCCTTGGGACTTCAACGCCGCGAATCACCGTTACTGTTGTGCCTTGTCGACCCTGAATTGTGCCAGAACACCATTCCTCGGACGTCAACATCACGAATCAACGTAAGTGTTCCGCCCTGACAATCCGACATCTTGCCAAAACACCCTTCCTGGGACGTCAACCATGTGACTCCCTGAATATGTCGCAAACTCTTACATCGATTGTGCGCGGCGCTAAGGCGAGAGCCACATTATGAAAAAGGAACCGCGCTACATCCGCTAAACTCTTGCTGATTTTCACGGCGGATTTGCGCGGCGTTACGGCGATAGCCACAGTTTGAAAACACCCGCCCTCTATCCGTGGAGATCTAGCAAATGTTGAAGACGGACGCGCGCGGCGCTAAGGCAAGAGGCAGATTTTGAAAACGTCTTGTCCTCAACACGTGAAGTTCTGGCAAGTTTGTATGACGAGTGTGCACGGCGCTAAGGCGAGGGCGACATTTCGAAAAGAAGCCGCCCTCCATCCGCGAAGCTCTTGAACATTGTTGAGACGGATGTGCGCGGCGCTGAGACTATAGCCACATGTGGAGACCAACCGCCCGCCATCCGTGAAACTCCTGCAAAGTTTGAAGACGGATGCGCGCGGCGCCAAGGCGAGAGCCATATTCTGAAAACGGCATGTCCTCAATACGTGAAGCTCTTGCAAGTTTGTAAGACGGATCTGCGCGGCGCTAAGGCGAGAGCGACATGTGAAAAATATGTGTTGTGAATCCGTGAAGCTCTTGCACATTTTTGAGACGGATGTGCGCGGCGCTAAGGCGAAAGCCACACTTTGAAAGCGACCCGACCTCCATCCTTGAAATTGGTGCATCGTTCAGGCTCCAGGACCATGGATGGTGAGGAAGTCTCAGGCGAAACGCCCGGCCCGCCCTTCCGACTGGCCTCGGGATGCGACAGGGAGGAGTTATTCATAACGAAAAGGAAAGGAAGATGATGATGATAATGATGATGATGATGATGATGATGATGATGATGATGGTGGTCATGATGATGATGATGATGATGACGATGATGATGATGATGACGATGATGATGATAATGACAATGATGATGATGCTGAGAATGATGACGACGATGACGATGATGATGACGGCGATGATGATGATGCTGATGATGGTGATGGTGATGGTGATGGTGATGACGATTATCATGAGGATGATGACGAAGGCGATGAGGATGATGCCGATAATGATGCTGGTGAAGATGCTGCTGATGATGACAATGTTGATGATGACGACGGTGATGATGATGATACTGATGATGACGGTGATGATGATGGTGATGGTGATGGTGTCGGAGGTGATGGTGGTTATGATGATGTTGGTTATGATGATGAGGATGATGATGATGATGACGATGGCGATGGCGATGATGATGATGATGACGATGACGATGGCGATGATGATGATGCTGATGATGATGATGACGATGATCATGATGATGATGGTCATGCTCATGATGATGCTGATTATGATGATGAGGAGGATACTCCTCATCATAATGATGCTGTTGGTGCTGATGCTGTTGCTGATGATGGAGATGATGATGGTGATGGCGTGATGTCGTGATGGAGTGGTGGTGGTGATGATGACGATGATGACGATGATGATGATGGTCATGATGATGATGATGATGATGATGATGATGATGATGATGATGATGATGATGGTGATGGTGATGGTGATGGTGATGGTGATGGTGATGAGGATGAGGATGATGCTGATGCTGCTGCTGCTGATGAAGATGATGATGATGATGATGATGATGATGATGATGATGATGATGATGATGATGATGATGATGATGATGATGATGATGATGATGATGGTGATGGTGATGATGGTGATGGAGAAGAAGGAGGAGGAGGAGGAGGAGGAGGAGGAGGACGAGGACGACGATGAAAAGGAGGAGGAGGAGAAGAAAAGGGTGACCGTATCCTGCCCCAGCCGGCGCACCCGCCAGATCAGCGCCCAGGGCGACGCTTGGAGGCAGTGGAACCGGGAGCAGAGGCAGAACGATAGAGCAGCGGACCGCAGCGCTTGGGCGGAGGGAGTGGGGAGGGAGGGGCCAAGACCTCCCTGGCGACCTCGAGGAGGAGGAGGAAGAGGAAAAGGCGCAGGAGGAGGGCAAGGAGGAGGTGCAGGGGGAGACGGAGGAGGAGGAGGAGGAGGAGGAGGAGGAGGAGGAGGCGGAGGAAGAGGAGGAGGAGGAGGAGGAGTAGGAGGAGGAGGCGCTGGTGCAGGTGCTCGCCGTCATCATGCGAGGCGAGGCGCCACCAAGCGTTTCGAAGGCGTTGTTGGTCGGCCGCCTGATCCCGCTCCAGAAACCAGACGTCGTAGTACGGCCCAACGCGTGCGGAGAGACGCTCCGCCGCGTTGCGGCGAAGGCAGCGACGACGAAACGCAGGTAGCTCATTGCACGAGCGCTGGGGCCGCACCAGTTTGGGGTTGGCCGGCGCAACTGCGTAGAGGTCATGTACACATTGTTGACTTGCTCGGTCGAGAAGGCTCAGCACAGGGATGTCGTGCTCCAAGAAGTCGCCCAGCGCCTCTCGCCCCTCGCGCGCTTCGCTGCGGCGGTTTGGTACGGCCTGGTACGGCGGGGGCACGGCGCACGGCGCACACGGACAGCGCGGCTGCTCTGCTGAGGTGACGGCGAAGCGTGGCATTGACCAGGGTTGCCCCATGTAACGGCGAGGCTCTACCAGGAGCTCGCGGCGGCCGCCTTCCAGTACGACCTTAACCTCCAGGTGGTTGCCTACATCACCGACGTGTTCGTCGCTGGCACGCCGCAGGCGCTCGCCGCGGGCCTTCGCTAGCGCCCCAGCCCTCTTCGCAGCGCGCGGCCTCCGCCTCAACGCTCGCAAGACGAAGGTTTGGAACCTGGGCTGCTTGCAGCTCCTGCCGAACCTCGCGGCCGCGGTGGTTGCCGAGCTCCGGTGCGTGGGTAGCCGGTTGCCGCTCGTCTGCGGCGGGGCGGCGGCGGACGGCCCAGGCCAGGACCCCACGGTGACGAGTTTCGGCTCGGCGGCCGCGCCCGAGTTGGCGGCGGGCCACATGGTCGCCTTGCTGGAGCACCTGCGCTGGCACGGTCTCCGAGTCCACGACGAACTCGTGCTCCTGCTCACGCTCACCAACGGCGCCGCGCTCCACCGCGCGCGGGTGCACCTCCTCAACGAGGCCTGGTCCCGCGCCTACGACGACCAGGTCTTGCGGCACGCCGAAAGCCTGCTGGGACAGCCCCTCACGGCGACCGCGCGCGAGACTACCTACGCGCGCATGGCTCGCAGCGGGATCGGTCTGTACAGGTAGGAAGAGCGACGCCTGCCTGCGTTCGTGGGTTTCTGGACAGGCCCGTCAGCAAGAAGGAACGCGGCAGCATCGAGAAGGCGCAGAGGGCCGCTAGCCTCCAGACCAGCCGCAGCCGCAAGATACGGATCCTCCAGGCGGGCCCCACGTCCAAAGCCGCCCGGGGATGGTGGGAGACCTCGCCCAGGAAGTACACGAAGGACAGCATCACCACGGCGTTCCACGCCGCCGCGGGCGTCCCGAGGATGGTCGCCAGGCCAGCTTGCACCTTGATGTTCGGACTCCGTGCCGACCGCCAGTCGAGGGCGCAGTGTGACGTGGTCACGGCTATTGCTCGCACTGAAGCGAAGCCGAGAGGGAAAGGCACCGTGACCAGGCTGCCGTGGCGTTCTTGCACACGCACGCTCGCCAAGCACCTCCCCAGCACCGGCTGGGTGCCCAGGCCAGCAGCGCCTTGGACCTGGCAGCATGCCCCGCTGCGCTTCGAGCCTTTCCTGGACTGCGATAGCCAGCTCTGGCATGGATTTCGCCCCGTCGCCCAGCTCCTCCAGGAGGCCTGGCGGCGCGCAGACTACAGCTCCTTCGTCAGCAGTGCCCGAAAGTATTCTTGCATGGCATGGACCGCCCAGGCTCCGCAGTGCTGAAGCAGGCGGACCATGGCCGTGCAGGACTGCTACATGAAGAAAATGTAAAAGGCCACGAAGGTCCTCGGCGGGCGGTTGGTCTTGCCCCTATGAGGTCGGCCGCGCATTCGGGGGCCAGCGGCGCGCGCCCATTTTGCCCAGAGCCAGTTGCGGATCAAGAACATTTCGTCTGGAGGTGCTCTGGGCGTGCTCACCGTCGGCCCCTGGCCCGCCCGGCCGACGCCCTCCAGCGCCGTTTCTTCTGGCCCACTGGGTTCAAGGAGAGTGAGGACCAGGGTGCCGCCATTCTGTCCTTCGCGTGTTTCGTGGACAAATGCCTCGCCCGCGCTAGGCATGACGGGGGGGCCCCCTTCGAGCTCCCCCGCAGCCACAGGCATCGAGGGCAATGATTCCCTCATCTGGGCGTCGTCAGCACGAAGGCGGGGCCCAGCGAGTTCGCATTTGGCGGGCTCCTGGCAGACATGCCTGGCGGAGGTGCACCGCGAACTGGGCGAGCCCAGTCTCGAAGCCCTCGCCGCCGCTTGTCCTCAGACGTGGGCGGCGGCCGAGCGCCCTCTTGGCCGTGCGGTGGATGCCTGGCGGCCGTCGTGGAGCCGTCTTGGGCAGTCGAAGGGCCTTCTGCGGCCGTTTTTGGTCCGACGGGGGGCTTTCTTGGGCCGCTTTGGGGCAATATTGGATGCCTCTTGGGCCCTCGTGGTATCCTCTTGGGCCACCTTTGGACCCTCGTGGGGGCCTTTGGGGGCCATCGTGGAAGGCGTCCTGGGCCGTTTTGAGCGGCGAGAATGCGAAAGTCGCCATAAAAACGGAGTCCACGACTTGGGATAATTCGGGCTTGTTGGAGGTATTGTTGTTGCCTTCTGGGGCCCTCTTGCAGGCATCTCGGCAGAATGGACCCCGCAAAGACAGTAACCTGGGTTCGTAATGTTCCGGGAAAACTGATTGGGGTTTAATTTGCCCCCCCGAAACAGTAGTTTCTTATGTTTCGGGAAAGTTTCTTGGAGCTCATAATGTTCCTCCGGAACATTATCGATTCGGGTTTATAATGTTCCCCTTCGGAACCCCAGACTGATGAATTTGGGTTTATTCCCCAATCAGAGCAGGGGCCCTAGCGGATTCGTACGATTACGTGAGGTTCGCCGCCGATTCAGGTGCCCGGGTGCCCGGGTGCCCAGGTGAAGTTCGCCGCCGATTTCCACGGTGCCCGGGTGCCAAGGTGCCCCGGTGTCTTATAGCTCTAATGCTATATTTCCCTATAGCCCGATAGGTTTATAGACCTATAGCCCAATCGCCGTATAGCCCTATAGCTCTATGGCCCCATAGCCGTATAGCTCTATATGCGTGTAGCCCTATATCCTTATGGTCCTATGGCCCTATAGACCCATAGCCCTATAGCCCTATAGCCCTAATGCAGTTGTGATTGGGGTTTTTCCCCGGTATCATGATTTTGTAATCGTACTTATGTTTATTTCCCCGCAAACTTTTGAGCTCCAGAATTGGATTTGTTATCTCCGAGTATTCACCCCGTTGCATCACCTCCGGACATTATAAATTGGGGGTCCGTAAAGTTCTGGGAGTAGCGAGCCCAGGTTTACCATTCCGGAGTGATGATAATGGAGCTTGGGGGCGGCGCCTGAGCTTAAGACGGGAATGTTGGTTCCGGAATCATTCTTCTGGAATGCTAATGGATACTATTTCCCCCCAACCCCCGAGCTCCCGATTGGGATTCGTTTTGTTCGAATGTTGACCCCGCTTCGTGAGTTCCGGCAGATTATAAACTGGGGCTCGTAATGTTCCGGGAATGGGAAACGTGGGTTCATGATTCCGAAATGATAATAATGGAGCGGGGGGGCGCCTGAGAAGAGGGTCTGGACTGGACGCAACCCTACTTCATTATGTCCGTATATTGTTCCCGGATTCAATATTCTGGAATGACAGTAATGCGGCAGGGAGGAACCGATCCATCTACAGGACACCAATCCACGGGGAGTTATCATCTCAAATAACAAGTTTAGGTTTCACATTCATTGAGAGTGAGCCACGGCCGAGGTATCCTCCATCTCGGGCCGTCTTGAGGCCATGTGCTGCTGCCTTGGGTACATCTTGGCCCGTTTCCGATGCATCTTGGGCCATTTTGGTGTCCCTGGTTAGGTGTATGGGCCGTCTCGGAAGTTCGGGATGCGAATTCGTAGTTCTTAACGAGGGATCGTGGCTTCGGGGGCGCGGGCCCATTTTTTTCACGCGGGATCTTGTCCTCGTTGGGGGGATGAATGCGCGCGACACTTGGGAAGGGGTGGGGATCGTTTTATAGAACATAGAAACACTACAGAGCAGCACTTGGCATTCTCACATGCCCACATCGTGCAGGCACGGTGCTGGATTTTCTTCTTGAGGTCTTTGCCTCTTGCCGCCGCCGGCTTGGACGAAAGCTTGAACGGCATTCTCCCTGCTCGACTTTGTCCCGTCACATGCACTTATGGGAAAATCAGAATCAATGCCAGCGCCGCAGGCGCAAGTGTGACGGTTCCTTCCGATTGGGTTGTATTGGAGGGCGATCTTCCTCCAGAGAATGTTGACCTCCATTGACGTTGACACCCCTCTCCTGGGCTGCCCGTGGGCCTTTCTTGGTTCTGGGCTTCTCCCGCGCCCCCCCTCTAGGCCAGCCCTACGCAAACACATTGATTTAGACCACCATGAGAAAACAGCCTCAAAGGAAAGTGGTCGAATTGGGTTCGCCGTTTTAGGCCTCATGGGACCCACCCAAGGGGCTGTGGAACCGTCAGCAATAATCAGAGTGAGGGGGCCAGGCGGTCATTCATTGTCCCTGCGTGCGTGGCTGAATCAAGAGTTCGTGGTGAAAATTTAGTTTGTTGCGTTGTTATTGTTGTTGTTGTTGTTGTTGTTGTTGTTGTTGTTGTTGTTGTTGTTGTTGTTGTTGTTGTTGAACACTATTACTTCTAAAGAATTATTATTGTTGGACCCCCTGGTGCACGCCCCCCGCCCAAAACCTAGGCCGCAGCTACATTTTCATCATTTTTCTGCGAAAGCTTCAGAAAAGTGGATTACCCCCGGATCCGGTTTTTTGTTGACGCTCGTTTTCCCTTGCAAAAAACAATAGAAAATGAAAATTCTTGTTCTTAGTTGATCAAATTTCAAGAATCCCTTGCAAAAAATAAGGTAAAGTGGACATTCGCGCTCGCAAGACGAAATCCTTCCAAAACCTTAGGTTTCGTAGCGATTTTAACATAAAAACATCAAAAACCCAATGGTTTTTTAAGAAAAAATTGTCAAAATGTCCTTCCGCGCGCTCTTGCGGATTCATAGGAAACACACCACTTTTTAAACATTTCTGTCAAAAGGGTCTTTGCGTGCTACTTCTTCAGGTGCTTTGAACTTCTCCAACAACGGTTGCGCGCCTGCGAGGGCCACCATCCCCCTCTTCCGCCTTGGAGCCGTATTGGAACTGTCGATGGCCATCTCCCTTTCTCCCTCGCATGTCTGCTTGTACATACGTATAATTTCAGAACTTACCGTGCATGCGATCGTTTACAACATGGTGGACCGTGCGTATGTCACGAACCTTGTATACATGTGTTTCTCTCCCTCCGTCTGGCTGTGCACGCGCGCGTTGGGCACTGAGAGTTAGGATCATAGCGCCATGAGTCTATGAGCAATGCATGCGTCATCCTTGGGACTGTATAACATCAGTGTAACACATGTACTTCTGTAATCGCATCCCCACGAATTTGCCCCAAAAATGTGACCAACTATCTTGGCACTGCGTACCATCTCACGTGTACCGTGTACCACATCATATGTAACAGATGTGATCAACCTCTGTGGGTGTGTACCCCACGCCAGTGTAGTAGCCAGGGTCGTCCGCACGCCACGAAGTGAAGTGTCCCAACGTCATAGGGCGGGAAGCTGGGTGTGGGTGGTCTCGAAGAGTCGTTTGGATATTTGGTAGAGCTTGAACGGCCCCCCCACGAAGTGGGGGTATTGGCTGGTGTCGCAAGAAAACCCTGGCACTGGGGAGAACACTGAGCGTTCGGGTAAAATGATTGTTGTTGTTGTTGTTGTTGTTGTTGTGGTGGTGGTGTTGTGTGTGGTGGTGGTGGTGGTTGTGCTGCTGCTGCTGCTGTTGTTATTGTTGTTGGAAAAGGCGCGCGTGGGAGCCCCGGCCGCCCCCCCCCCCCCAGCAACCGAGCAACCGAGCAACCCTCTCTGGGGGTCTCCTGGGGGCGCCAAGGATTCCCTAATAGGATTTCCTAGGAATCCTATATGCTGCCGTAGGAATTCTATAGACCTCCTTAGGAATTCTATAGGGCCCCATCGGAATTCTACGGCCTCCACACGAATTCTACAGGCCCCCATGGGAATCCTGTAGGCCTCCGTAGGAATTCGATGGGCCCCCATAGGAATTCTATAGGCTTCCATATATAAGCCCCCATCGGAATTTTATCGGCCTCCATCGGAATTCTATCGGACCCCATATGAATTCTATAGGCCTCCGTAGGAATTCAGGAATTCTATAGGCCTCCATCGGAATCCTATAGGTCTCCATAGGAATTCGATAGGCCTCCATAGGAATTCGATAGGCATCCATAGGAATTCTATATAGGTCCCCATAGGAATTCGATTGGCTTCCACACGAATTCCATAGGACCCCATCGGAGTTCTATAGGCCTCCATATGACGAGGAGTAGGATGATCAATACGATTATGATGATGATGACGAGGATGATGATCAGGGCGAGGACAGGATGGATGAGGAACACTGTGCGAACCGAAAATTTCGGGCCCATTTCGGCGCATCCTTCACGCGGTTCGGGGCCTCACAAGGGCGTCGTCGTCGTCATCGCCGCCGTCTTCGTCGTCGCAGGCTTTCGCATGGTAGTCGTACGGTAATCGTATGGTAAACGTATGGTAGTCGTATAGTAGTCGCAGGGTAATCGTGTGGTAAACGTGTGGCTTTCGTATGGTAATCGTATGGTAATCGTATGGTAATTGTATGGTAACCGTATGGTAACCGTATGGTAGTCGTATGGTAA